GAGAGAGAGCAGGAATAGAGAGAGGAGAGAGAGCAGGAATAGAGAGAGGAGAGAGGGGGCAGGAATAGAGAGAGAGAGCAGGAGAAGACAGAAAAAAGCGAAGGAGCAGGAATAAGAGAGGAGGGGGGGGGGGGGTGGGCCATGAGGTGGAGTCTTGAACTAATTCCAGACTGAGACACTTTTTCCATGAGAGAATCTTGCTGGTCCCAGAGGCCCACAGTGCTGCCACTGACCCAGGGCCTGGGCAGTAGTGCCTCACCATCTGGCTCCAGAGGCAGTATTCCTGCCTGCTGCACTGTTAACACAGGGACTGACGTTTCACTTTGTCTCGCCTTCACACTGTCACTGCCTCCAAGCCTCGTACTCTGTCCCACACTCACCAACGGAAAATGCTGTGTTACCAGTTGCTGTACTGCCAAAACGTTAAAGACAAGCGACTGTTACATAATTCAATCAAGTTACAAGACAACACAAAAGTAAAAAAGGGCAATGTCATGCATAATCATAACAAATATCCCTCCTCTCTCCCACCCCTCCCACTCCACCACATTTAGTCTCTCTTTGGGATAGTTCACACATCCCAAAAATGCAGCCCAGGAATGCACTTCCTGCTTTGCCATACACGCTCTGCTAAATTTCTCCCTCACTTTCCCTCCTTCCCTCTGCGCCCTCCCCCCTCTTTCCCTCTGCCCCTTTCTCCTTCAGCTCTCAACTCTGCTTTCTCTTTCTCCTCCAAGTTTCCATCTCTCTCCTCTCTCCCATACGTTCCTACCCTTTTTCCAGTCTCTCCCTCCTCCACTCTCCTCACATCCCTCCACCATTCCCCAGCCCTGTTTTCTCTTCCTCTCTTGATCCCTTTCTCCTTCTGCTCTAACCTTTCTTTCAGTCGTCCCTTCTCTCTCCCTTCCTCTCCCTTGATGTCTCGACCCCAGATGGCCGGGAATACTGGCTTCCCATAAAAAAAACCTAGAGCTCTGTGGGAAAAAGAAAGAGGGATGAAGAGAGGGGTGGACGAGGAAAGCATGAAGAGACGGTGAGAGACAGAGGAATGAGGGGGGTGGCTTTAGAGACGCCCTCTTTGCCACAGTTCCCAGACCCCCGCTTGCCCCCGAGGAAAGAGCAGGAGCTAGGCCTCTGAGGCATGGCTGCTCTTCCTCAGCTGACCCAAACAGCAACACAGCCACGGAAAGAAAACAGGAAATTCTGTTGTGGTTTATTTATTATTCAATAAATTTAGAATCAGCACTAACAGTTCCTCCTCTCTCTGTGGGAGAACATAATGTGATTCCTAGCATGCTGAAAGTGTTTTTCTGCCTCGTCAAGTCAGCACTTGGAAGCGTCAGCCAGCCTCCCGCAGACAAGGCTGGGGCTATAAAGAAGGGGTGTAAGCAAAGCTCAGCTGTGGTGTAACTGTAGCTCCTGGTACGAGTCTCCCACTGCACACCCCAGTGGAGAAATTGAATATTCTACA